TTTTCTCCGGCCCCGCGTGCCCGGGCTGCCGGCCACAGCCCACGTGCACACAGACGGGCCCGGCTCGCGCCCGGCAAGGACGGGACCAGGAGCCGGCCCGCACAATCCTATTAATATAAATGGGTCACTTCATGTCAGTAAGGTGACTGAATTTGCCACTGTATATGTGACTGCTCTTCAATTTTTGTCCAGGTTTCCCACCAGAGTTTACACCTACATAAACTAAAATTTTAAAACTTTCAAATTAATCTATTAAATGACTGAAGGGAAAGAAGGTTAATCAAAATCATTAGTCTGGGTGCCTGACTAGTCCACATAAAGTCTTCTAGTTCTTGATCTTGGATATTACCGAGAGCAAGCAAACTCATAGGAGTTAAGGTACAGGTTGCAGGCCTGGCACCTTGAAGCTGAACAGCAGTAATAACAAGGACTGCTTCATCAGTGTCTGAATGTCCTCACCAACCATACTCAATTGTTATTTCAAATCCCCATTTCCTAGCTGTCTTTGTCAAGGCAAGTGTAAATAGATGGTTTTTTAATTGTAGGCTAACAAGCAGTCAATATTACTTATTAGTGCTTTGTGTTTAAAAATGCATTGAAAAAAGGAGACAAGGTTCTTTGGGTGAATCTGGTATCTTTTATTAGAACAACTTAAATAGTTGGCAACAAAAATGTTTTAGCAAGCTTTTGGGTTCAAAAACCCTTCATCAGGCTGAGGAAGTCTCTGCAGTTGGTATGTCCTTAAAAAAAGTAATTATTTGGAAGTCAGAATCAATCTCTCTTTTAGCATTAAAACATGTACAAAATTTAAAGGTTTAATTTTATATCACTTATTTTATCAGTGTTATGGGAATTTGCTCTGTAAGATTGTAATCCTTTTGGGGGGATTATAATAGCAATAATCATGCTGTTAGAGCTAAAATGTTAAGATTATTTCATAACAACAGAGGGCAGACTTTGATAGCTATGATTTTTATTCAGTCTCTGTCGTGCAGATTAAAATTCTGTTTCACTAGCACTGTAACTTTTTAAACTGCTAATTAAAAGGTGCAGCTTTAAGATCCACTTCCCAAAAGCAACAGCTGGCCACAGTAAGAATATAAAAAGGAGTACATATAAAATGCTAGCAGATTTGCAGTCTCCGGTCATAGAAAGAATTGTTCTACAGCTACAAACACACACTGATACTCCTTGGTTAATTTCACAGGCAATTTATTTGTGGGGAGGGGGGAGAGAAGACCAATACTAGATTCTTATTAGTACATTCACCTTTTCTTCTACCTCTGTCACACGCTAGCCCTGTTCAGTTTATTGTCATTGTCAATAGGGTTGTTCTTCAAGGTAGCCTGGAAAGCACAATTTGAACATTTGCAGGAAAATATAAATGTAGTGTAAGCTGTATTTGGTAAACTGGTAACCTGCAATTACTTTAAAAACATAGCAGCTGTCACATTAGAGCACCTTTCAAAATAGCTTATGTGCCTCTTCAGACTCATGCATATGCTTTTGCAAAATGACTGTATTTAGATCATGTCTTACTAATAAAGGAACAGAACTGGGATGCTTACATGGTGTATCTGAGGTGGTGCAAAGATGACCTACCATCCCAAGTAAAAACAGTTATATGACCCTGCCACCAGACTTCCAAATTGAAGTGCTCCATTTGTACCAAACAATATCTCCCTTCATTTCAAACAGATTTTAAATAAAACCCAACAGGACACTTTTCTGTTATGTTATGTCCCCACAACCTTTGTTCTTTGCTCATTTTGAGTTGCCCTCAACTCTGTCCCTCATTATATATGTAATTTTTTTATACTTACATTATATTTTTGTCTTTACATTTCCATAAGAGGAAGACAGGAATTTAGTAGATGAGACAGGTGGTGAAGGAAAGCTCATGGTCAATGATTATGGATACAAAAGGGATACTAATTCCTCTGCAAGCCCACACCCCTGGGAATTCCTGTATCTTTAAAAAATCACAAGCAGGAGAGAGGAGAAAAATTTTTAAGCTTTTAGTGCTGCAACCAATCAACTCCAAAGCCTGAAACTGGATATAACCTGAAGTGTTTTGCCCTCCAGATATTTATCAGTTTTCTTTCTGGTGCAAAGAAATGTGATGCTGACAAGCAGATTTCTAACACAGTTTGCACTCTAATTATTGCAACCAAAACAGAGCCATATATCTCTCAAATGACAGCTCTGCCCTGTGCCTGCTTTCTCAGAGCCTGGGGGCCCTTTTTTCTTCTTAACCTCCACATTTTCCACCTTTCACCCTCTTACCCCCTGCCCTTCATTTGTCTTTCTTAACAATTATGCAGAGCTCTTCTCCCTCTTTTAAATCTTGGAAAGAAGTGAGACTCCCCCCGCTTTTCTGGTGCCCCCTTAGATGTAGTACTAATATTTCACCTGCAAAATTATCTTTTTTCCCTCCACTCCCTGGCACAGTCTGGATAATTTGGGCTCCTGGAAAGGTTTATCCATGGGAAGTGATGAAGGCAGGCAAGGTTTTCGTTAAGGATGGCTTTTAGGGCAGCGAGTGTTTGAACTGGAGATTTGGGCAGGAGAAGGGATATGCTCCCTGCCCAAACCTGCAAGGGAGAGAGGAATACACACACACACACACACACACACACACACACACACACACACACGCTGCAGGAGAGAGAGGAATACACACGCATACACACCACACAAACTGAAGGGAAGCGAGGAATATGCACGCACACACAAGGTACAACACACACACTGCAGAGGAGACGGAGACCCACACAGACCCCACAGGGGAGAGAGGAGTAAACAAAAACACACGCACACCACTCACCTTGCACGGGAGGGAGGACCACACACACACACACACTTTGAGCCTTACTTCTCTAGAGAGTTTCTGTGCGCACCGCGCTGTGCAGGGCAGCGGGGACACCCGCCGGGCAGGT